TGCGTGAGGACGAGCGCTGGCCCGCAGGGTTTGGGTGAGGGGTGAGCATCCACGGGAAGCGTGTGGGTAGCAGGCCCACCCCAAGAAGAGGCAGCTGCTGGTCATGGCTGGAGTGTCAGCAGGGCCAGGGTTGGTGGGGCAGGGTGGCAGCTGGCCACGAGGAGGGGGTGCTTGGTCCGAACCCAGAGACCCGAGGAGCAGGGTCAGATGCAGGCTCGCCCAGCAGTGCAGGAGGGGCAGGGCCCACGGGGTGGACGGGTCTGACCGGCTGGGCTGACCCAGGGGAGGCTACAGCCGAGTGCAGGGAGCAGGGATAGGCGCCGGGAGCCTCCAGGCTCTCAGGCTCAGGAAGACTGAAAAGTGGCCTTCCCCTCTGAAGAGCAGTAGGAAGATGGAACCCCCCTCCGCTAGGCGAGGTGTTTTCAGGACCCATTTCCCTTCGTCTGATCACACGCCAGCCCTGCCGAGTTGCACGGAGCCATCAGAAAGTGGAGGGCACCTGCGTCATGCGTTCCCCGAGGGAGGAGCCAGGCTGAGGGCTCCAGATGAAGTGTCCAGGGAGGGGCCGAGGTGGGGGCCTGCGCAGGTCTTTCCCCACTGGGGTCCTTGTGGAATCTGCCTCTGCTCCTCCCTCGCGAGTCTCTGCTGTTTATTAAAGAGGGCTGCTCCCTCACAGATCAGAGGGTCAAGAATGCCCTCTCTTCAGATCTGAGGGCTGGAGATTTAAGGCGCAGCCCTGTCTTCCTCCCACTCTGACTCTCCCACGTAGGAGGGGAAGCCCCGGTGATGACAGCACCCACCTTCACCCCGAGGACTGCCGTGAACACTAGCGGTGACCGCGGTCTCCCGGGTTCTGCCCTGCCCTCATTCGCTCCGTGACTCATCCTCTCTCCTCTCTGCAGCCACCCTGGCCCTCCACCCGATCCTTTCACCCCTGTGGATGGTACAAGGCCAGAGTATCCAGGTATACATCCTGGGAAGGGGGAGGAAAAGAAGACCCCCTCAGCGTCGAGGTCTGAACCACTGGCTCCAATGTGGCTCTTCTTGAGTCTTGCGTGTGACAGTCACTGGGAACCGGCTCAGCCTGCTGGGTCTCCCCAGGACCCTCACAGAAGTACATGGCTGGGCACACTGGGGCCCCTGGCCCTAATTCCCTCTGGCAGCCGCTAGCCTTACCTAAGCATGACGGATCCACTTCCCAGAAGAAAAAGCAAGGAGCTGACTGCTTTTATCAGCCCTGAGGTCACATCAGGACCCAGAAATTGAGCAAGGGACCCCCACCCCATGGGACAGAGAACTGAAATTCATCAGTGCTAGTGGCCAGAACCACCTCACCTGCGGGGCACTCGTGCCCCAGATGTTCACCTGCATCTGATCACGAGGAAACAATCAGACTCATGCAGACCTCTTAAGAGACAACTGGTCTGTTAAAATGTCAATGCTAAGAAGGATGAAAAAAGGCGGGGGTGGGCCTCTGCCTGGTTACAGGAGATACTGGAAATAGGAGAAGAGATAGGAGAGGCATGAGTGGATCAGAGACGTTCTGAAGACAGCTGGAAAATTTGGATATGGACTGTATGTCGCCTAATATTGTTGTATTTATGTTAAATTTTGGGGCTATAATGGGGTTGAGTTTTGTAGCAGAAATGTCATTCTTAGAGGTACATGCTGGAGAACTTAGAAGTCTTCTGAGGACTGCAACTCGCTTTCAAATGTTCCAGAAAAACGTGTGCGTGTCCGTGTGTCTGTGTGTGCCTGTGAGTGCACTTGTGTGTGAGCAGCCGTGTGTACAGACACAGTGGGAGCAAGTGTGAGCACAGGACAACTCACGTGATGGAATGCTAATCCAGGTTAATCTAGCTTAAGGGTTGATGGGTGTGCACGGCGGCCTGTCCGCTTGTCATCTGAAATCACTCAGAATTGGGAGGTGAGGGAGAGAGGTCTCTGGGAAGGAGCACGTGGCGCCTGCCTTTCCCTCCACTGTCCTGTAAGCTGGGATTGTCTTCTCAAGTACCATGATTAATGATTCATAAACGACTCTTGTGTGAAGACAGTCACCTCTCCAACTTCCATGAAGCATTCCTTAGTGGAGAAGCGTGTTGACCCCCCTCTCAGGGGCCTGCACGGAGGGAGGAGCCTGGGCTCCTGCGTCCCCTCCTGTGCTCACAGATGCTCACTTGGGAAATTAGATCCAGAAGGAAGGTCCTGGCCAGGCTGCCCTGGGCGGACGCTATGGTAACAACCACAGACCACAGCACACCAGTGGCTCCTTTTCAGGGTTTATTTCATCTGCTAACATTCATTCTCGACCTAGACAAAAACAATTAGATGATTATGACTTGCTTTTCCATCATCACCTCATTTTTTTTTTGTATGAATAACCAAAAGATTTCTTCTCAACACTTTTTTTTTTTTAATAAGAAGCTATAAATAAATAAAGCTTTAAACGCTCCTGGGTTCAAGTTAAACACTTCCAGTTCCCAAAAAGTTCACAGACTCGCTGCTCGGACAATTTGGCCATCCCCGGCTCCTCCTCCAGGAGAGGCCGGTGCAGGCCTGTGTGGGGAGTGGGCTGTTCGCTCACTGCGTGTTTGCGCCTGTCCTCTCAGCCCTGGCAACAGCCGGGTGGGGCCGCCCCTTCCATGGGCCCCAGCGTGGCGTCGAGGAGCTGCCGCCAGCACAGGAGCCTTCACCGCAACGCAGGTGGCCTGAGCGGGAGAGGCTGGACTGGAGACTTGAGAAGCTGAGGGCTCTGCCAGTTGGCACCGTCTCTGGGCACCTCAGCCTGGGCGCTGGCCCGAGACAGGACAGCTTTCCAGATGCAGCAAAGAAACCGAAAAGAGACCCATACTTCCGTGTGAACTGGGACAACAGGCCATAAGTTAACACATTGCAATATGTACAAACCAGATCCTACACTCAGGCCCGCACACACAGGAAAGCCACCACGAGGAGGGCCGTCCTGAGCCAGGCCACTGGCCAGGTGCCCAGGGGCACAGGCAGAACATGGCCGAGCTTTCCACTATGCCCTGGAGTCGGCCACCTCCCAAAGGGAGGACACAGCAAGCCCCCAGCGCCTCACGTGCTTGTGCAAGACCACAGAGCTCTTGTGAACACATCTCCCCTCCCCAGAGCACGCGTGCCCCAAATGATGAGCGTCAGAGCCCAGACACCCCCACTGACCTTCAGTTCCCCTTAAAAGAGCCACTCAATTACCTCGCCTCTTCGGCATTATGTGTCCACTCGAGGGGTGGTCCTGGGCTGCCTGGCACGGTGCCCACCCAGGCCTGCTGACAGCTCTGCCCTTGGACTACAGGATGAAGTGGCCAGTGTAGGAAGGTGGATGGTGGGGCCCTTATGCCAGACAAGCAAAGACTAAAGCCGCTTCCTCCTGGGTGCCACGTCACTCGGCACTTCAGCCTCTCCTCTGCTCTGGAAGGGCCCTTGCTCCCAGGCCTTCACTCCATGGTGGAACAGCTGGGGTGGCTGAGTGGAACCTGGGCCAGGGAACCCCTGGTGGGATCTCCCACGAGGCTGTTGCCCTTGCCAGCCCCTCGCCAGGTGGCCCATGGCCCTCGCTGCCCTCCTTGAGTCCGGCCTGCAGCCTCCAGGCACACATGCTTCCTCTCTTGGAGATAGGGCGCCCGTCCACCTCAGGTGTGGGGCTCACACTCAGCTCCCCAGAACCCAGGTGCCTCGTGTAGGGAAGCACCTCCAGAGGGGACACTGGCCCAGCCTCCTCGAGCACAGGAGGGACAGGGGCAGGGATAGTGTCTACAACAGACATGAGACATGGCTTCTCTAACCTGCGGGGCTGCAGGGAACAGGGCCTGACCAGGTGGGGCGGGGGGGGGGGGGGGGGGCAGGGAGAGCCGGGGTGGGGAGGGTACCCGGGAGCTTCCAACCGGAGTTGAGAATCTGAAAGCCCGAGGCCCCTCCTGGCCATCCAGAACCACCATGGCTCCAAGTATGGCTCATGGGCAGCAGCAGCCGTCTGCCGAGTTCCAGCCAACGGAGGCTTGATTGTACTTCATACGCAGGTCGTGGGAGCAGTGGGTATGAGCCCTGAATAATGTCCAAGTGATGGGCTTCGGGCTAGGGGCAGTCTGCTGACAAATCCCAGAGGGTCAGAAAAGAGACTGGGGCAGGGGGAGCTCTCGGGTTCCATCCCCCTTCCTGTCTGAGCTGGTCTGCTGGGTGGTCACCCCCAAAGGCCAGCTGGGGGGGGTCAGACACAGGTGGCCACAGCCTTCCCTCTCCTGGGACACACTGTGTCCATGGCAGGGGCCAGGAGGCGGGCCATCTCCCACAGCCCCCTCAGTCTGAGCACTGTGGGAAACGGGGGCAGGGAGGCGGGCCCATCTCCCACAGCCCCCCCAAGTCTGAGCACTGTGGGAAATGGGGGCCGGGAGGTGTGGCCCATCTCCTGACCCAAGGCACGAAACCACAGTGGGTTTTGATCTTGGGCCAGAGATGGGGGCGGGCTTCCTTGGGGCTAGACTAGAGTCTTCTTGGCTTCAGAAGTGGGGGGCCCTGACCGTGCAGATGGGCACGCTGGGGGCTCCATTCCTGATGACACTCAGATGGCTGCCCGTGTTCCCAGGGAGGTGGCTTCACATAGGCCCTGGGGCAATGTGGTCACCCGAGGCCAGGGGGCTGCCGGGATGGCCTGAGCCTGGGGAAAGTGCCTGGCGCTGGTCTCAACCCCCTACTGGCCAGTGAGGGGTGTGCAGTGGGCATGGGATGCACCCCTGGCCTGCAGTCCACTCTCGACTCTCCTGTCTCTCTCGTCTCCAAATCCTTGGCCACTGTGAGGAAGGTGGGGGTCAGGAGAGCAGGGCCGGCGCTGCCCTTGGCCTGTGCAGACGTGACTGGGGCTCCTCCAGGCATGCTTTCCTCTGACCCAGTGCGCTGCACAGGTCAGTTTCTCAGCCCGCGGCCTGGGAGAAACAGTGAGAACCAATGCCGCCCAGCCCACCACGCGCCCCTGCCGCTTATGCTCAGGACACATCTACCTTCTGGGCAGCGGATTTGGGCCTCTCTTCCCATAGACCCGGGGGGGCTGCGTGTTGGTCTGTCCGTCCGATTCCCCCGCCTCGCCCCGCGCCGGCCGCCACTACCACTTCTCAATGATGTGGCTCATGTAGTCCTCGGTGGGCACGCGGCCCGGCTCCTCGGCGTCCTCGCGCGCCAGCGCCTCCTTGGCGCGGTGCAGCAGGCGCTCCTCGCGGCTCTTGAGGCGTTGCTCCCTGCGCTCCAGCTGCCGCTTGTACTGGTAGCGCTGCTGGAAGAGGTCCTTGGCGTAGTCGTAGAGCTGCATGTCCAGGTCGTTGAGCTCCTCGATGCGCCGGATGGTGGCGCCGTCCACCTCCACGCCGCCCGCCCGCGTGCTGTTGTACTGCATGAAGGGCCGGATGAACTTGAGGTTGAACGTCCGCTCGAACAGGTACTGCGTCTTGCGCTGGAACTCCGTCAGGCCGAAGAAGGCCATGCCGCGCAGGTTCTTCTTGGCGCTCTCCAGCAGCAGCTGGGCCCGCTTGCCCTCGGGGATGAAGGACAGGTTGTAGCAGCCCACCAGGCTCAGGTCGGCCAGCATGCGCACCTGGCGGTTGTTGGCCAGGTTGTAGGGGCAGTCCATGAACTCCTGCAGCGTGCAGCCTGACCAGTCCGTGCCCTCGTAGCAGGGCGGCAGCTCCTCGGGCGTGGGCGTGCGCCCGTCACACATGTGCAGCGACGTCTTCCACGTGGCCCCCCGCTGCACGTGCCGCCACTCGCTCAGGTAGCGGGACACGGGGTCGCGCAGCAGGGTGATGTAGTAGAACTTCCTGCAACGAGACAGGGAGTGGGTGAAGCGAGGGCGCGAGGCAGGGGCCACACCGAGACTGTTCCGGGGTGAAGGAGAGACGGGGCTGGAACCCCAAGTCTGACCACTCAGAATCTATGCTAGGGGGCCACAGACAAGCGACTTCACCTCTGATACCAACCACTATGTTTAGTTCTCAAAACAACCCCTTCTGAAGGAGAAACTCAGCCACTGTCACAGCTGCCACGTGTGACCGTCACGGTGTCAGGCAGTATCCAGCCTTAGCACCTCCTGACCCCTGACCTGGGGTCCCCTCTGGGGGCTTCCCCGGAGCCCCAGGCGTGCCCTCCTGCCTGCCTGCTCCTCGGGAGGGGCAACCTGACTTCACCCTGCTGGAGGGAGCAGGGTGGCCCTGGAGCCCTCGCCGCGTGGAACCCATGGTTTAAAGAGCTGTTCACAGTGGCAGGCTTGGTGCCGCCCAAGGTGCCAGTCAGCAGAAGTCACTCACAGTCCCAGGCTGCAGAGGCAGGCCAGGGGCAGGGCCTCCCACGGGGCACACCCCACCCCAGGCTCCCGCCGAGGTCCACTGTGGGAGGAGCACCAGTAGACGACCCCTCGGTGAGCCACAAATCATAACTTATGTTGTCTCCTGGGACCTGTTCCAACCCCACGGAGTCAGGCATCCCTCAAGATAAGACCTCCCGGTGCTGACTTAAGGGAGTGTCTGCCCACGGGAGAACGGACTCAAGGAAGGCTCTGCCCCTTCTCTCCTCTCCCTCAGGGTGACAGGCACCCAGAATGATTCAAGTCCCTGCAGGGCATGGTGTGATGACTGGCCCGAGGGCGCCAGGGCACCACAGGCTGTGCGGCGGCTGCCAGATCTTCCTTTGATGGGCCTGGTGTGTGTGGGTCAACCCCAGAATGGTCTACAGTTATTCCTGGGGGCCCCTCCTCCAGGGCTGGCAGAGCTGGCGGCCTGTGCATGCTGGGGTGGGCCCTGGCCACAGAGAATCAGGGCCTGGGGCTGGCAGCCTAGAACGTCCTCGAGAGTATGCAACAGGCGCCCACTGGGCCCCACATACCACTCTTGGGGGGAGAAGACCCAAAAGGGACCTGCCCCACCAGTGCCCCCCAAGAGGGCGACACGGAAGTACACCCACACTGCCCCTCCTCGTTGAGGCCCAACAAAAGCACCCATCACACCACCCTCTGGGAGAGCTGCAGGGCACAAAGCACCTTGAAGGATCTGGTGGCAGTGCCCTGCTCTGACCACACCTCCTGAGGGTAAGGGGTCCTGGGGGGCAGGCACGGTAACCGGTGAGGACAAAGGTGGCGGGGTGCCACGGGAGGTCACCCCAGCCTACAGGAGCACATCTAGAAGATGAAGCACCTGCTTCAGGGGGCCCGGGTCCCCAGCAGGCCAGGGCATGGGGAGAAGCTGGCTGATGGCTCGGAGCAGAAGGAGAGACAGGGCAGCTGTTGGCCACCTGACACTCCCGCGGCCCCCACCGGCTGGCGCTGTGCCACTGGGGCTGGGCGAGGTGGGCCAGCCCCTATCGTTGTGGGGCTCTGGCCAACAGTGGGGAGAGGGCCTCTTTCCTAGCAGGGAGTAGAGAGCAGGATGGGCATCCTGACTCCCGACCCCTCCCCGAAGCCTGAGTTCTTCTGTCCTCTCTGCCTCAGGTCATGGATCCACCTTCCCAGATGCTGCCTGGGCCAGGCTGGGGGTGAGGTTGACAGGTCCCTATGTGCTCTGGAAGCAACCTCAGCATGTGCCCCACCCCAGCCCAGGCAGTGACCACTTGCTCCTGGCCTCTGTAGGCAGCTCGTGTTCTAGTTCCTCCAGTGTGGGGAGCCCTACAGTCCAAATCTGACCCCTTACCTCCTGTGGAACATGCTTCAGTGGCTCTTGCTGCCCTTGGGAGAAGAACAAAGTCCCATTTGTGCCCTCCCAGCCCCCCGTGACCACTGGGGCCTCCTCTTGGCCCTCTCGCTGGCTCCTGAGATACCCCAGGGCCTTTGCACAGGCTATGTCCTCTTCCCTCTATTTCATCAGCTGACTTTGGCTCATCCTCTAGACTTTAGCCAGTACCATCTCCCAGGGAAGCCTCATGCTGCCTCTTGGGCCTCTGTCACAATGGTAACTTCACACTGACCTCTCAGCTCATCCTGGGGTAGGGAGTGGGCGAGCAGGAGCTGGCTCCTCTGTGTATCAAGCAGGGCCATGGTGCCTCCCTGGGGACAAGGCTGAGAGGGGTCAGAGGGTCCAAGACAGAAGGTGCCTCAGGGCGGTCACCTCACACAGCACTCTCAGCCCCCAGTTGAGGAAACCAAGCCCCAAGAGGGGAAGCACTGCCTGGAGGGCCCCAGTGGCTTCAGCGCTGGGATGGGGCAGGTGGCCAGGCCCCTCTCTGCAGACCCTAGCTTGAGGCCCTCTGGTAGGTGAGAAAGCCCTTAAATGTGACCGGGACGAGGGAGGTCAGTTTGTCCAAGGTCAGCTTTCTAGAGACCAAGTAGAAGACACTTCTAAATCCTGACCACGACAACTGCTTCTAAAGAGGCCCAGACAGGCAGACACAGAGCAACAGACAGAGGGACACACCTAGAAACAAACGCATAAGCAAACACAACCTGCGTGCAGGCTGCTGGCACACACCTGCCCAGCCGGGTCCTGTGCCTGCCCTCAGGCCCCACGGGGAGTCCAGGGGCTGCCTGGACCTCCCCCAGTCCCATGGGGCTGACCTCCCATAAGCAAACGGGCTAGTGCGGCGGTTTCTTCTGGACACAGAAGCCAGAGAGTGGCGTGTCACCTGACAGGTTTGTCTACAGCCCCAGCCAAACCACGCGGAGCTCAACCAGGCTCCAAAGGTGACCTCCGGGCAAGGGCACACGGCATATGGCTGCGCACCGGCTCGCCTCCCCAGCGCCCGTGCCTGCGGTCCCTTCGTGGTCCTTTCAGCCTGAGGGCCCGCACTAGCAGTTGCCCTGCCCTGAGAGGTGGGCTTGGCGGAGCCCCAGCTGCCCCCAGACCGTGCGTCCCAGAGAGGGGGATGGGGCCACTAACCCCCACTGTATGGTGCCTGCGGGCCCTGGGGAGGCCAGGTGTGGACGCCCAGAAGCCCTTGGCCATGAGCCATTCCCGTTGTACAGATGTCACCTCAAAGAGGTAAAGGTCACCCAGTGACCTACGGCCAGGACCTGGAGAGCCAGGACTGATGGGAGCCCTGCCCGAGGGGGCAGGGCCACTTGTCTTCCAGGTTCCTCTCCCACAGCCCAGAGAGGGTAGGTGATTTGCCCAGCATCACACAGCGAGTTATGAGGCAGGCCAGAGCCCACGCTGGCTGACCTGAAGCCCCACAGTGAGAGCTGCCCTGTGTCTGGTCGGATGATGCGACTGGGTCTGTCAGAGGTCCGGGCACTTGAGGGCTTGGGGCCCATGGAGGAGGTCACTGAGGGGTCTCCAACGGTGCGGTCTGCACTGGTGTCTGTAGCTGGCAGGTTCCAGGAGAGCAGATGAGCCTTCTGGTCCTTGGAGTTCCCTGTTGGTGCTCTCTGGTGGAGCCAAAGGAGCTGACTGAGCCCCCCGAGCCCCTGGGGCTCACAGCAACTCCCACAGCTCTCCATGCACCACATGAGTGCTGAGTGGGGTGGCCTTGCTCCTGGCTGCAACCCTGGATGCTGGCCTGGCTGGGGTGACTGGGAGCAGTGTTAGGACGGAGTGTGCCGCCCTTCTCTGCTCAGGACATCACCATGCCCTGGCCCCCAGTGCTGTCCCCCAGACATCGCCTGTGGTGGAGACCAAGGGCCTGGGCAGACTGTGGAACCTTCTTGTGGGGCCAGCAGCCCCAGGCCACCGCCAGCAGCCCCTGTGGGCGCACACATGCATGTCTGCCGGCTGCCTCAGGAGCTCCTGCGCCCGACCCCACCTCCACTCCCCTCGTCCGCCCCGGCCCTCACTCGCTCTGCGGCCACGACACGGCAGGCACCTCCAGGCACAAACTTGTGCCCTGGCCATCCTTTGCTCAGAAGCCCCCACTCCTGTCTCCCTTTCTCTGCCCTCTATTGCCCATTATACACATGACGAGACACAAGGCTGTTTATGTTCTGGTTTACTGTCTGCTGAAAGGGGGAGCACTGATCAGAAGTGAGCCCAGGGCAGCGTGTGGCATGGGGCGGAAGACCCCTCAGATGATGGAACTCCCCATCCAGGCAGCTCCCTGCCCAGGATGTGCATTCTCTGGAGGAGCTCACAACTCAGAGGCCTGAGCCACTGGGCAGGGGGCCAAACCACAGTCTGCACACTCAAAGGTGTCCCACACACCTGCCACCAGGCTAATCTAACCCCTGACCCAGCCGCCCCCCAGGAACCTGGGGGGGTCTCTGCCCCAGAGCACAGTGCTTCCTGCGCTGACATGTGGGGTCCCCCACAAAGCAGGGGGCTTTCTACTTATCACTCTCCAGCAGGACCTGTCCACCCAGGTGGTCCAAGTGCTAACCAACGAAGCTTTCAGAAAGAGGGGAGAGAGGAAACAGGGAGGAGACGATGAAAGAAACAAGAACTGGAGTACATAATCGTTGAGAGCCCAGCAAACAAATGTGGGGACCAGACCCATGAAGCCCCTGGACAGAAAAAACAGACACAGAGAGGGTCGGTTGTCAGAACGGGACTCAACCACTCTCTCTAACACCGTGTGCTAAAAGTCAAAGAGCAACGGCTTCAAACGCCATCACACCCAGCCCAGCTATCGACCAAGTGAGCGGACAGCAGAGAGATTTTCAGACATGTAAAGGCTGAGGAAACTTATCTCCTAGGAATCCTGCTTTAGGAAGATACTGTAGTATGTATCTCGTTTAGTAAACAAGAGGAAAGAAAAGCGCAGGACCCGGGAGAGAGATCCAGGAGGCCAGCCGTGCATCCTGCGGGCCTGTCAGGAGCAGCGGGACAGGGGCTCCAGGAAAAAAGGGGCACAAACAGATCACCGGACACAACAGAGCATTTGTGGAAAAACACCAAGAGCAGGT